TCCAGAACCACTCAGTTATTGATGTTTCCTTCTCTAATGGATCTTTGATAAGCACCCAGAACCGAAAAGCCCTTAAAGGGAATGAAATGTATTATGATGATGATGATGATAACGACTAATGCCACTGATGTTGGTGGTGTGTTTGTGGCAGACCGACGAGTGCTAAGCTCCTCTGTGCGCTGCCTTGCCAGGCCATTGGTTCATAGACACACGCACACACACACACACACACACACACACACACACACACACACTGCGGATTGTGTGCTAGCGCCACTAACCCACGCCACCCCCACTAAGCTATAACCTTCATGTCAAACACTGTTTACAAAGGAAGAACAGCAAATGCCCACATGCGGGATTATGAAATTGTCTTCTGATGTTTCGTGTGATTCCATTCTGGTGTTCAGAAGATGAAGTACGATGATCCTTTGGAGCCAAACAAGCGATCAGGGACAGAGAGAGGGAGAGCGGCGAGTGTGCGCTTGTTGGTAAAAGCAAGAGAGCTCCTCAAGCAACTCTGCTGAGTCTGTCACGACTTCTCTCAACAGCGCGTCACGTCAGCTTAGGTCTGACACGGGATGGATCGAGAGGCAAACACCTCCACTAGTTGTCAAGCTCTAACACCGGTGAGGACCACCTGCGTGGGGGGCGGGGGTTCCACCACGACACCCTATTGACAATATTCTGTCACACAGTTACTCCTCAAGTCCACACTCGGCAGTCGTACAATTCTGAGTTAGATTAAAATTGTTGCCTGAAGTTCATTCACGAAAGCAAGCCATCTTTATTTTCACAGCACGTTTCAAACACAAAGCAGCTCAATTGTGCTTCACGCGGGCAAAGTCACAACACCTAAAAGCATTTACAAACACAACAGTGAACGATATTTAGATGCAAAGCAGAGAAAACAAAATTAGCTGACCAGTATTAATAAAAGAACGTACAATGCCAGCATTTCAACACATGAACAGAACACTTTAGAAACATTTTAAAAGGAAGGTAAAGAAATGAAAAATTCCTAAAAGGAAAAGAAAGAGCTACTTATTGAATATGAATATATAAATCATTTAGACTCGGGGCTGACTTCACTTCTATTGGCGGCTTATTCCATTTGTGTGCAGCATAACAGCTAAATGCAGCTTCACCGTGTTTACTTGGAACTCTGGGCTCCACTAATTGACCCAAGTCTGCAGATCTCAGAGCCCTACTGGGTTTATATTCAATCAGTATTTATTTAATGTATTCAGGACCCAACCATGATATATAGACCAGTAGCAGAATTTTAAAATCTATTCCACAGCTAATTGGGAGCCAGTGTAAAGCCTTTAAGACTGGAGTAATATGTTCTTATCTCTTTGTTCTAGTCAGAAACCGAGCTGCGGCGTTTTCAATGAGCTGTGGCTGTTTGATGCTCTTTTGTGGGACTCTAGTCAAAAGACCTTTAGCGTAATCAAGTCTACTGGAGATAAAAAAGCATGGATACGTTTCTGATGGTCTGCTTAAAGCATGTAACCCTTTAGTCTGGATGTTTTTCAGATGGAATAAGGCTGTTTTAGGGAGTGTTTTTGCCATCTTCATAACTGTGATAGCCATCATTGGCTGAAGCGTTTGACCCAAAGGTAACATACACGCAGTGAACAGAAGGGGTCCAAGGACCGAGCCTTGAGGGACACCTCACGTCATAAGAATTCGATCGGATTCAAAATGTCCAATGGAAACAAAGTAATTCCTTTCCTCCAAGTCGGACCTGAACCATTTTTAAGATAAGATAAGAAAGATAGGACTGTTCCATTTAATCTCACCCAAGTTTCAAAAAGGTTCAACAGTATGTTATGATCAAATGCTGCACTGAGATTCAGTAAGACTCGCACCGTCACCTTCCCTGTGTCAGAGAACAGCTTCATGCTTTGGCGCCTGGGGCCTCAGGGCAAGTGGAGGGCACAATGAATCGTTCCAAATAGCAGTCAGTGTTAACCAAAAACCGTCAGGATTATGCTAAGAAGCAAAAAAAAAAATATATATATAACAAAGTTTGGAAAAGGCTACGACAATGTTAAGTTAGTTGGAGTTACTTAAAGTGTGGAGTTGGCGTGTTGACTCCCGTTTGACATGAGTTTGAATTTGTTTGGTTCATTCTGTTTTTCCTTTCACTCTCAAAGTAAAGTAATAATAAATTCAGTTGTACAGGTTGTAGGCCTCGTTCACGGTGAAATGAAATGAACTCTTTTTTTTTTTAAATCTGACATTTGAAAGGGATCTGCAGAGTTTTCTATCCACTGTATAGCGCCCGTTTTGAGGCAAATAGTTGTTTTGAGCAATGTCATGTGTTTTTACTATCTTTGTGTTTAGAACTACGTTTTTCCCCAAATTGGGTTTTCTTAGCATGGACTCGCACTAACAGGCTACTATTTATTTCCCAACCACTCTGCCCGCGACACATTCGTGTGCTGTCCAATTTCACTTACTTGGTCCAATAAGTATGATTTAGTACCTTCATTTGTGTCTTTCTTCACTTCCTGTGAGTAATATAAGCTTTGTCTTCAACTAAATAAGATCTGAATTCGCACAGAGTAATTACATTTGACAGTAATTTGAGATGAGATGACCATTATTTCAATGCGTACATCTTTATTACATTTCTGTTCAGTGGTGCGCTGTGAGATTTTTCAAATGTAAATCGAGCTGAATATAACCACCTTTGGCTAGTGTGAGTGCTTTGATGCATACTCAAGTTTGGTATACGAGACTCCACCTCCGTACTTGATTACAGCCTGAAAGTGTTTTGCATTCAAATACATTCACAGTCATTATGGAGGACTGCCATAGCAACGAAACTCTGTCGCAAACCTACAACTCCGTATACTGAGCTGTGATGAGTCATGATGCACCGGTACAAGTATTTCCGACAATAAATTGAAGTGGAAAATGGCATACAGTGCCGTGAAAAAGTATTTGCCTCCTTTGTGGTTTCTCTGTTCTTTCCATATTTATCACACATTTATTCCGTTCATCAAGCCAATTTTAATATCATACAGAGACAGCACGAGGAAATAGAAAATGCAGTTTGCAAATGCCAATTAAATTTATTTACACCCCCTCCCCCCCACACACACACACACACACACACGCACAAAACCACCTACCTGTCCCTATGCGAAAAAGTAATTGTCCCCTGAACCTAATAGGTTGTGCCACCCTTGGCAGCAATAACTGAAATAGAGCATTTGTGATAATTGGTGAGGGTTTTCTAGAACGAACATTTAATGTCGATGTAATCAATGGACGTCTATAGTGTATGTTGGACTCTCAGTGACGTCTACTCACTGTACCAAGAAGTAAAGCCGCCGCCGGCCATCTTGCGTTGCCTTTTGCGAAGTGCACCTCAGTTTTGCGGCGTTTTCACATCATTTCTGTCTCGGCGGCGAAAATGCCACAGTGTACAGTACGGTTGTACCAGTAAGTCTGTGAGGACCGCACCATGCACATTTATTTCATTGGTAAGAATGCAATTATACATTTTATCTTAAAAAGGTGTATCGCTAAGTGCCACTCAAAAAATTGTCTGCATCATGTTGTCAGAACCCTCAACAATTAATTGAAAGCAAAGCCCATCGCGACAAAATTTGCTGCGAAATGTAAACCGAACCTCTTTAAGTCACAAGACTGAGAGAATACACTCAGAAATGTTGATGCAGACAGTTACATTAGTTCCTTAAAATGCTCTCATTACTCCATACATGGATCCTGGTGGAAAAAAAACCCACACATTGATAGTAGTGCTTTCAATTAAAAACAGAAGTTCTCAGTAACAGTGGCAACATAAGATGGTTGTCCTCTGATTTCAGCTGTGAGAGGACAATCGGGAGTCCATCATATATACCGTATTTTCTGCACTTCGGATTATAAGGCCCACCTTCAATGAATGGCCTATTTCAAAACTGTTTTCATATATAGGGCGCACTGCATTATAAGGCGGACAGAATTGAAGCTACAATAAGCTGCGGTTACGTGATGCATCCACTAGATGGAGCTACGTTAAAGGGAATACAATACAATGCAGTTACAAAACAGGAAATGAAAGATAAAAGTTATGAAGACAATTGATTCAAGAAAAAGGCACACAAACTGTGTCCTTTCTTTAGTCAATAGTTAACTATGCTTTTGGTATTGCCTTCGTTTCATAATGGCTGCGCACAACTCGCAAAGTAGTTGTCTGTTTGCGTGTGTGTTGGCGAATGCGCATGTCGATTAGTGTCGGGCAGAACCCTTTTAGGTTCCAACTGCTCCCTATTAATAATCACCACAGGGAAACAACTCAATGGGGAATGTAAGGAGAGTTACAGTCTCTTTATATTTGGCACATTGGATTAGGGTGCACTGTCGGGTCTTGGGAAAATTTAATGCTTTTAGGTGCGCCTTATAGTGCGGAAAATACAGTACATCCATGGTGGAATCACGTCAAAATCAGCACAGGTTGCCATGAGGCGCAAGTTCCACCAACATATACTTTCACCCAGTCACAGATGCCCGAAGAAGCCACGTCCACTCGAAAGAAGCACTGCCTTCTGTAAATGTTCTAGTCCATTTTGGAATCATCCTGAAAAATCATCTGGAAGCAGAATATTCCGAAATGTTTGTCAGTAGTCTTATTTTATTTAGTTTCATAAACCACAGAACTAAAGAAGAGGTGAGTCAGCCTGAGAGTGGGGGAATAAAATGGGGTGATTTTGCCACAGAGAAGACAGCTCAGTGTTTGGTTTTGGAGTGTTACTATGACAACTCAGCAGCCAGGCACGCTGCGTCATGTTTCTTCCCCATTTAGCAATTATCACTTTTGTCCGGCAACCTTTCTTTCACTTTTTTTGTTTTTCACTCCCCTCCTGCCTGCTGCCTGCCACTTTGCTCCTCATTCCCACAAGCGTGCCTTTTTGCAATATCTTTTCAAGGTCAACATTATATCGTCTGCTGTATGTGTGTGCGGGTGTGTGTGCGCCTAGGTGGACGTTGGAGTTGTTCACTTCACCCCTCTGGTTCAGCCGCACATCCAGCAGCCCTTCAAACTGGTGGAGAAAATTGTCAGGAATATATTCCAGTTCCGCAGAAAGCATTGCCACAGAGGAATCGGGTGAGCGCCGACGTCATCGTGTTGTGTGGTTGTGATGTTTGGCACCTCATTGGTGAGAGATTCTCCCGCCGAACTTGACCAACATGGTGAGCTTCAAAAGCAGAAGTCACACAGGGAAGTGCCCACCCTGTCCGTGCCTGTGAGGAGCCAGCACGCGAGCCCAGATAGCAACACAGCGGTGGCTGTGTGAATGAGAGCAGCAATTATTAGTCGCCGAGGTGGCACAGGAACGACAAGGAAGCAGATTTTAACCATGAAAGTTTAGGCAATATGACTTTTACCCTGCACTGTAATTAAAGCTGTTTCAGGAAAAAAAAATCCACTTTTTGCTGAACCTAACCCATAATTCATAAATATGACTAAATGCATGACAATACTTCATGGCGTATTTTCAGCACTATAAGGCGCACCTTCAATGAATGGCCTATTTTAAAACAGTTTTCATATATGGGGGGGCACAGCATTATAAGGCGCATAGAATAGAAACTGCAATAGCGGATGCACTATGCATCCTCTAGAGGGAGCTACACTAAAGGCAATCCAATACAATACAATGCAGCTTTATTTGTATAGAGTCTTCACAACCGCTGCAGCTGGAACAAAGCGCTTTATAGAACATTTAAAATGCTACGTCCAAGAAATCTGAATATTGATCCATATATAAGGCACATCAGATTTTTACGGCGCACTGTCAGCTTTTGAGAAAATTAAATGGTTTCAGATGCGCCTTATAGTGCGGAAAATACGGTCTTATCTGTTATGGAAACCTGATGTGTGAGAGGAAAAACACAAGGGCATTTTCTGAATCATCACAAGAGAAATCAAGAAAACATTTTATTTGCATCGTTGGTTAAAATATTCAGTCAACATTTGTTGACCAGTGAGTACTCTACTTCCTTCTATTTGAACATGAAACATGTATGATCGTTGAAATATCCAAGCATCTCGTCTGGATTCTCCCTCCTGCCAGAATGTTGTTCCCCGAGGCGCGTCGCGACGCATTCACAGAGGAGCTGATGTGCAAGGCGGATGTGGAGCCCACCATGCGCCCCATCGAACTCACCATCCCCCACATTAAGGCGCTGGCGGACGTCTATGCTGAGATGTGCGCCCGGGAGCCGCTTCTGCTGGGCTATGACTTCCGAGAAGAGCTCCGGCTGAAACACCTTGACAAGCAGAGAGCAACACTGAAGGCCGTGCCGAGGGGAACGGCGCCAAGCCCCGAGTGACCAAACAGAACAGGACAAAGAGCAGAAAGCCCAGCAGGGCTCAGTTAGTGCAGCTCTTGTAGCCTTGACATTTCCACCTGGCAGTGGCGTGCATTTTTGACACTGTTTTGCGCGCATCCAAGAGTACCGACTGGTTGTTTTTTTGGAAGCTAACGAGCAGATTGCCCAAAATGCAAAATGGTCACATTATCTCACAAAAGTGAGTACGTACACCCCTCACATTTGTTCAAGTATTTTATGTTTTCCGGGCACAACACTGAAGAAATTGATGCTGCAATATAAAGAAGGGAATGTTGAACTGGAATAAAATCATGTAAATTTCATGTCCATTCAAAATAACACGACACAAATGTCTAAACCACTGGCAACAAAAGTGACTACACCCCAAAGTGAAAATGTCCAAATTGGACATGAAGTGTCAAAATTTAGTGTGACCACCATGGATTTTTTGAATTGGCTCCAAGAGGCTGTTTATTGAAGGAACCGATAAAGAGGAGCTTGGTCCAATGGTGGCCGTGTTTCACGGCTTGCTCATGTTCACCCTGATGAGGTATAAATTACATGGCGGCAGCAGATCCATTTGTTTGTTTGGTTTCCAGTGTGATGTTGTCACT